AAGGAAGGAATTATCCTTGTAATTCATTTAAAAAAATAACATCTTTCTACTTTGGGAATGCCGGTGCTGTGTGATGTTTTGAGTAATATCTAAAGGTGAAATTAGTTGCCATTTGCCCTTGTGGCTCCTCCATTTCTCAGTACACCGTTCAGATCAGAAAATCTTTCCTTACCTAAGAAAAGACCTAATTTTATAAACTGTCCGTGATACAGTATCTCTACCACACTCAGTGAAATCCCCTAATTATATGTGGTTTCCAAAACAGGAAGAAATCGGATCCGATAGAATGACAGTGTTTGGTAGGAGAAAGCAGAGGTAGTTGTGTGCTAATTTATAAACGTCTTTCCTGTTCAGTTGTTCGGAAAGATTCAGGCCGCCCCATTCAGTGTGTGGGATCTGGCACATCATCCTAGTCCTGTAGGAGCAACTTTGTCTAGTAACTGGGTGGGTGGCTGCATCTTCTAAGCAAAAAGTACGCAGTCCTTAGTATTAATTGATGATTAGAAAAATCAAATACCAAGTCTCAGTGAAAAGCTGAAATAAATGTCTTTGGAGAATAGGATTCAGAAAGCAGAACTTGATGAAATAGGGTTGAATATATAGTTAGACAACTGATAAGAAAAAAAACACTTGGTTCTTATCTGCTGGTACTTTGGGTTGAGTTTGTTGTTTGGAATATGAAGTGTATGTAACATGGGGAAAGCGAGAACAAAAAGGCCAGGGCCTACCTCTATGGAGCTACTTCATTTATCTGGCATCTTGCTGGACACTTTGGATTTATCTCACGTCATCTCTCCAAATGGGTGACGTGGGCATCATTCTTTGCATTTTGGATATGAGGAAATGGAGGCCAAAGAGATTATGAAATTTGCCCAAAGCAAAGGACAGAGACTAGGGTTTAAACCAGACCTGTCTAACACCAGAGTCCCTGCTTTCTGTCCCAGGAGTAGGGTTTTTCACCAGGGCCAGAGGAGGGGAGATCACGGTCTCAGACCAGGGGAAGGGGCATGCATTGCCCAATGTGCACAAAGGCTAAGAAGCCTAATTGGGCCTGCCTTTTCCTGGTGCCCCCTTGAGGGCTGCCTGGTGAGTCACTGCCGTCCTGGTGTCCTGGTGGCCAAAGGGCCTGACCTTTAGGGGCCCTCACTGCGTGGACAATAAATCTTTATAATCTTGCTCTAACACTCTGTGCAGGAGAGATACCGAGGGATTAATGAGAAATCTTAGACCTCTCTTTTGTAAGAAAGCTCAATGTTCAAGTTTACTAAAATGATTTATAAAGTATAATATGCTAAGTATAAATGAAATGTTTAAAGAACTCTACCACTGGTCACGTGATTTCTATCAGGCTACCAAACACTGGTGTGTGTCCTACAATGAGGCGAATTATCCTCCCTCCCTTGACAGAGGGTGTGAGGCAATGACAGAGAACTTCACTCAAAAAGTCAGAGGCTCCCTGGATGAGAAGAGCTGGTCAGTTATCTAATCCATCCACGGTGGGTTTCTTCATTGCTCACAGCTGGTTGGGAGATTCATGAAACCTGAAGAGAGCATAGTAAGCCCATGTCCAGCCAGATCGAAACAGTTTTGCAAAAACTGGGAAGCTCCTCTGTAGCTTTGCTTGCAGGAATGTTAATGAGTACACATCCACAGTTAATCAGAACGAGATTTTTAAAACCGAATTTATAGACTTTAAGATTTTCAGAATAGCAACAAATAGATAACTTTATATGTGTAATAAGACTTCACATAAGCTAATACCATAATGGCACACTATTCACAAATATTTGGGGGGTACATCTGAGCTCAGCTTCCTTCAGGCTGCGCATCCTGTGAGACAGTTGCGTTGACCACAAGGCCGATGCCCCTCCCCCTGCACATACAGAAGTGTTTTCCTTCCTGTCTTTGGATTGTTGGTGTAAGCAAATGATTATTAATATTATCCTGTATTATTTTTTTTTTTACTTGTTGGGTGCAGAGGATTCCAGCGTCTAAATGGGCTATAATTATTTAACTAGTCCTAACTATTGGACCCTTAGGTTAGTTCTTACTCTTCATCATCATAATTAACCTATGACAAACATTCTTACATGAAAGACGTGTACACATCTCTGATAAATTCCTTAGGATGGATTCTTACACGTGGCATGTCTGGGTCACACTTGCCAAACTGATTCACATTCCTTTCGATGGTGATTAAGGATCTTGTTTTCCTTCTCCTCACCAATATTGAGTATTGCCACTTCGAAACAACCTTCACCAGTCTGAAGTAGTAAGTGGTGGAAAACACCCGTCTCACACATTTTTCTGTTTTAGGAAGTATAGCACAAGGAACGCAATCGAGTCTTGACAAGGCTCAATTGCGATTTCCAAGGGATCTCTGTGCTGCTCTGTAGAGCTTGTAGTACCAAGTTATATGCAAAGAAAGCTTCCCTGCCTCAGAACAGACTGTTTACAAGTTGGGAGTGAGGAGGCTTGGGTTCTGGTTCTAGCCAGCCTCGTTTCCTTAGGCAAGTGCTGTATTCTTGGGAATTTGAATGCCTCAGAGGAGCCAGCCCGATGCTTATCTATGTCCGAGAGTTAGCTTCGTCCCACGCCCTGAGAATCCTCCCTCCAGGGGCCCTTACCTGCACCAGCACTTAGAATACTGCCTCGTAAATCAGTGCCAGAGGGTTAATGAATGACCATGAGGAGTGTCAGAAATAATTTTTCACTGGTGGAATGAATGACGTGCAAGATGCGGAGCTGACAAGTGAGATTGTACAAGTGTCTCTCTGCCTTTTTTTGAACAACATAAGTTTGGTAACACAATGTTTCTAGAGCAGCACCTTGTCTCGAACTCCATTTGTTCCCTAATCCACTTAATCAAGGATTTAGTTGCTCGATCTGGCTAGAAGGGTGGCTAATTACATCATTATAATTCAGGTGCACTTGGCCCAGAGAGAAATTTTCCTGGGAAGGTTTCTCTAGAGTGCCAGAGAAGACAATGAGGGGGGCCCCAGTGAGATTCCAGAAATATCTTCTAGAGTCCAGAGGTGCCTCCCTGGTGACTAATGTCTTTCCTGGGGCAGAATTCAATCTGAGATAACATCTGGTAGTAAGGTTGTGGGGAAGGACCTGTCACTTCCAACTTCACCTCTGAAACTTTGTGCTCACTTGTATGTGTTGTGGAAGAACTAAGTTATTTGACTTCCCAATTAGTTCTAAAAGTCCTAGATTATGTGGTATAAAGAACACAACATTAAATTCAGGTTGTCTGGCATTGTCATTCAATAGAAAGTGTATATTAGTTATAGTATTTATTATTAACTGTAATGATATTTAATAGACAGGGAATTGAAGTGAAGGGAGATTAAATCAATTGGGTAAGCCTTTCTCCAAAATTCATGTTCTTTCTACTGTAATACTTGATACCCCTCTGTTATGAACTGAATGATATCCCCCAAAATTCCTAGGTGGAAGCTGTAACCCCCAATGCAACCGTATTTGGAAACAGGGCCTTTGAATAGATAATTTAGGTTAAGTGGCCCTAGCTGGTGTAGCTCAGTGGCTTGAGCACCAGCCTATGAATCAAAGGGTCGTCAGCTCAATTCCCAGTCAGGGCACATGCCTGGGTTGCAGGCCAGGTCTCCAGTAAGGGGCGCGTGAGAAGCAACCACACATTGATGTTTCTCTTCCTCTCTTTCTCCTTCCCTTCCCCTCTCTCTAAAAATGAATAAATAAATAAAATCTTTTTTAAAAAAAGGTTAAGTGAAGTCATAAAGGTGGAGCCCTAATCCAAAGTGACTAGTGTCCTTATGAGAAGAGAAGAGACACCAGAATGGGAGCGAGGAAACTGTAAATAAAGGGAGGCCCCACAGCAGGCTTCCACCTACTTACCCGTTTTGTGTGAACGTATTTTACCTTACCTGGCTGTGCCGGTGAGGGACGACCCCGGAGCCGGGAAGCCAAGCACTGTCTCTGCATTGTCTGTTTCCTGCATCATCTTCCCTGGCTGTCCTCGTGCAGAAACAGTTTGTTTTGTTGCCCAAGTTGATGGGAGTTTTGTCATCTCAGTGAACTACCCGGTTCCATTTCAGGTTGGAAAATGTGAAGTAAGTTGGAAAAGCTTCAAGGGGCTTCTCATTAAGCCTGGTAGTTGGCAGCCATGAAGTCAACATGGGACTTCAGTGCAGTCCATCACCATGGAAACGAAGTTTGCTTCAGAGAAACCAAAATGCCTGTAGAAATCATACAGACTATCAGCAGTTCCGTCACCAAGAAGTGTCCTGTGCAATGACACTGTCGTGCATCAAACAATGCATGATGCTGCTTCCTCCGGCCCTGTCCATGTAACTGTCCCTCTTTAGGAGAAAAGTATTCACTCACCTTGTCTGTACTGTAGATGGGAAAAGAGGCAGAGAATGGAGCAATGACCTTGGGATTGGCTCCCCAAGTTAGAGAATTTGTGTTCTATGAGATCTTCAAGAAATGCCATGTAGCTCTGGGTGATTTTTTATATCAAATCATTTGATAGATTTTTAAATTTTTAAAAAAATACTCTAATTCGAGGACATGCTCATTGGTTTTTTAGAGAGGGGAAGGAAGACAGAGAGAGAAAGAAACTGATTGGTTGCCTTTTGTACAACTGGTTGCCTTGTGTCCCAACTGGGAATTGAACCTACAACCTAGGTATATCCCCTGACCAGGAATTGAACCTGCAAACTTTTGTCGTTCAGGATAATGCTCCAATCAACCGAGCAACACCGGCCAACGCTGACTTGATGAATTTTTAAGATTCCTTCCAATACTTTGATTTTGTGACCCTAATCACTAAGAAAAATGTTCACTGGTGCACAGACCTCACTTCTCATTTGCCGTGATGCCAGATTGCAAGTTACAGCTGATGTTGGACACATAACCTGTGTGCCCACCATAGTGATTGTTCAAACCCCAAACCTAAGTATAGCTGTTGGTCTTTAAGTCACTTTTAATTCATATCGCCTTCTTTTCAATCACAGGTCATCTTTAGATGGTGGAAGGTTTCTCTGAGGAGTGAGTATCGATCATCAAAACCTGGGGAAACGAAAGAATCTCATGAAGACTTCCTGGAGAATTCACATCTTCAGGGTAAGGAAGGGAGTGTGTTATGTACTTACCACTGTTACGTTCCCTTTAATTGGCGATAGATTTTCATCACAAAAAAAATCACAGATATCATCATCTGCAATATCGATATGTCATTATGTACTTTATATGATACAGTAGATGTAGGAGAACAGTGGGTTATTAAGAAATAGAAAATTGCACCCTGGCTGGTGTGGCTCAGTGGATTGAGCACGGGCCTGTGAAGCAAAGGGTCGCCAGTTTGATTCCCAGTCAGGGCACATGCCTGGGTTGTGGGCCAGGTCCCGGTGGAGGACACATGAGAGGCAACTACACATTGATGTTTCTCTCCCTCTCTCCTTCCCTTCCCCTCTAAAGATAAATGAATAAAATCTCAAAAAAAAAACCCTTAAAAAAAAGGAATAGAAAATTGTTAACATATCCTTAAATTTTGGGGTGGATCTTAATGTGTTTAAAATTCCAGGTTAACATGTGGATTCCATTTATAATCTTAAATCATGAAAATATATATTTTTGCTATAATATTTTAAATTTATTTTTTATTGTTGTTCAAGCACGGTTGTCCCCACCACCCTCCCCCGCCCCATTTTTTGCTATAATATTTAATTGAAATGGATTTCCTCTAGTTAAAAAAAAAGTTATTAAAAACATAATCAAATGATTAAATCCTTCAACCCTTATGAATTTTGGCATTCATTTAAAATCACTACCATTTCTTTTGCTCTCAAGGTTTGCTTGAGAAGTTGTCTGAATCAACCTGGACTTAATAACAGAGAGTGCTCTCCAGATTCCCCTATGCTTTCTTGCTTCTCAAAGTGAAAATTGCAAACATAAAAAAAGTACAAAAATGTTTTTTTAAAAAACTCATGTACCTGTAACCCAGCTTCTACAATACTCAAAATGTACAAAAACCCACTGTTTCCACTGTATTATCTTGAAGCAAATCTCAGTGGTTATATCATTTCATCCTTTTAAGGTACATCAGTGTGTATCTCTAAAAGAACTTTCTTTAACTGAACTCTAATAATTATTTCTTTTATTTTCAAGTTAATGGACTTTATATTAGAAAGAAAAATAAAATGACCAGCATTTACAACTTGGAATGGATGTAAATTTTAATTTCTTTTTTGAAAAATTCATTTATTTAATTGTTGTTCAAGTACAGTTTTGTCTTTTGCTCCCATCCCAGCCCCCCCACCCCATGCTCCCCACCTCCCTCCCATTTCCACCCCCCCTTAGCTCTTGTCCACATGTCCTTTATACTTGTTCCTGTAAACCCTTCCCCCTTTTCCCCTGAAATTTCCCTCCCCTCGCCCCTCTGGTCACTGTCAGCCTGTTCTCTATTTCAATGTCTTGGTTATATTTTGCTTGTTTATTTGTTTTGTTGTTTAGGTTCCTGTTAAAGGTGACATCACTTAACAATACAAATTTAAAGCTGGAAATCATTTTCATATACATGTTCTCATTTTATTGTTACAATGTCCATGTGAAATAAATAGTATTATCCCCGTTTCACAAATGAGACGCAGAACGGCCGTGACTTTACTGGGGCCCCACAGCCAACTACTGACATGGCCGGGACTAGGCAGTGAGAGTTGAGAACTCAGGTCTGTTCATCCACCCTGGGTGGGGCTTCGATCATCAACACTCTCAGACACATCATAGCGTGTAACAGTTGTTTTCTTTGAGAGAGACAGAGAAGGTTTTATTTTTGTTATTGTTGTTTCCTTAAATAGTTAAATGCCTGGATGGATGGCTTTCAACTCCTAATATCATAAACGTTATTTCGTTAACTCTTTAATAGCAAGTATTTGTAAAATTTGTTATTGGCTTAAAAAGAACCATGTTGGGGAAAGACTGTCCATGTTTCAATGAATAAAAATCAGTCCAGGCCTTCCTGCCTTATTTAATAATTGAATAGGCATGTTTCTGCAGAGATGCGTGGCTATAAAAGAAACTTCTAGAGAACACTTCATTTTCCAGTTAGGATCCATTTTATTTTCTAAACCCTGGGGTACCTAACCCAGAACTATGTGTTTACTGAGTGCTGAATACTCATCAACAGACCATGTAATTTTCCGATGGACTTTAACAAAATCCTGGAGTTGGGGGTTTGGGCTGCACAGATTGGAGGCCATTGTCCTATGTCCAGAGGCTCTTAAGGGCCAAATTTTCACCTGCCTTTTGCTTGCCTCAGGGAGATAAGATGCTGGGGGTGGGGGTGGGGTGACATCAGCTTCAGCATAGCCACTGGTGGGCTTCCCTGATCCTGGAAGAACAGGCAATGAATGGACTGGGAATCTAAGGGTAGACAGCAGCCCGGCTCCCGCTGAGCCCTCCTTCCTGGGGAGGGTAGTGGGGGGATTCACACAAGGAGTGCACCCAAACAGGCTTTTCAAATTGCAGTTTGGAAAGTGGCACTTCTCAGGACTGCCTGCTGGCCTTTCTCCAAGAGCAATACTGAGATACCAAATTAAAAGGCAAGTTCAATGCTCCGAGTCTCACTTTTTAGACCACCTACCTCAGGCAGCCCAGCAGAGGGAAAACTCCAACCCCTCTGCTGTTGCTCTCCTCCTCCCCCTTGGTTTTCAGGGGATCCCCTAGAGAGGCCTCTGCAGCAGAAGGAGGGGTGCACTATGGCACAGAGCGGGGCTCTGGGGTCAGCGGCCAGGGATTCAATCTGCTGCCTCCACCCAGCACGGTGCAAAACCAGCTCTTAATAACTGTTTGTCATTGTTAAGAAACAGTGTTTAAGTCCCTTCTTTGTCATAGCCCCAAGGTCCCCTCCCTCCACAAAGTTTTTCTTATCCAAAGTAATTGTCCTGCTTAAATCCTGCCCATTCGTAGCACGTCTTTCATGTCTTTAGAATCTGGGTCACTGTTGCTGGCAAAGGACCTGAACTGGGTTACTCTCGCTTCCTTGGTCTCTGAGCAGCACTTAGCTTGAGGTGACATTTTCTTCCCTGACTTCCAGGGCACCTTGCTCTTGGTTCTGCTCCTGCTTCACTGGCCTGGACTGTGCTTGCTGGTCCTCCTCATCGCTCCTAATCTAAAGGCTGGAGCACAGGGTTCTGCTCTCGTGTCTCTTGTCGGCCTCTACTGGCCGGGAGATTGGGTTGAGACTCAGGCTTTAAATGCCACCCTGAATGAGACCAGCCCCTTATGTCCAGTCTGTGCCTCTCTCTGGAGCTCCACACTCAGGTACTTACCTAGCTGCCTCCTTGACATCTGCCCTTAAATATCTAATAGGCTCTCAAATGTCACATGATCCAAACAGCTGCTGATGATCCTCTGCCCATCTGCTTCCCCCCCAGACTCTACAGTTGTCCTTGGTTTCATCCGTTCTCTCTCTTACATGCCAGATCCAATCCATCAACATAACTAGAACCCAAGCTGTGGTCACAGCCTCCCAGACAACACCCAAAGATGCCCACCAACCAATAGTCACACTTGTGTGATTCCCTCCCACCCGGCATCTGGGCCAGCTGTGGGACCAACAGAATTCAGCAGAAGTGAGGGTATGTCACTTTTGAGATTACGTTATAAATGACACTGCAGTGTGGATCTTCTCTCTCTTTTCCCCGTTGCCCCCTCTCTTTCATCACTTGCACTGGAGGAAACCAGCTATTATGTCTGAGGCAGCCCCATGGAGAGGCCTATGTGGGGAAGGACTTGAAACCAGAAGAGCCGGCATTTGTGCTGCCTGTCACCTACCAGCACTAATAAGCAGAGACAGGGATTAAAATTTTTTTAAGATTTTATTTATTTTTCATTAGAGGGAGGGAGAAAGAGAGGGAGAGAAACATCAATGAGTCTTTATAGGTGCTTTATTCAGATGGTGGCAATGTAAGAAGACAGTGGGTTTATACCCTAACAGGCTGTCTTAAATTCCATGTTAAACTGACCCTCATTGTGAGGAGGAGGAGAGTGTAGGTAAGGGATTTGTGTAGGTGAAGTGTAATCCGTGGGAAGTTAATCAGATAAAAGCTGCAGCATTTTTCCATCAGAGTCCTGAGTGTTGGTCTTATATGGTCTTTTATCTGTGCCCTGGGGTGGTCTTTATCTGTGTCTTGCTGGGGGGGCCTCTCACCCTGGAGGACAATGGCTCAGATGGCGTCTTGATGGCTTGCCGTCCTCCTGAGGCTCAAAGGTGGAACTGTTCACGGTGGAGTCAAGGTGGGTCATATCTTCAGGCGGGAACAATAGCTTTTACAGGCATTGATTACTAAGCGCATTTGCTATTTCCTGAACTAAAATCTTCCAGCTCTTGAGTCCTGTATTAAACTGAGGCCTCTGCCCAACAGCTGCGTGCCCGAGCTTTCTTGGAGGAGGATCTTTCTGCCTCAGTCAAGGCCTCAGGTGGTGCAGACCCATGACGTCTGGACTGTAATCTTGTGGGAGGCAGAGCCTGAGGCAGAACCATCCTGTTAGGACATTTCTAGATTCCTGAGCTCCAGGACCTGTGAGTAATAAATGTGTAGATAACTAACACAGGAATGCTTCTTGCCGTCTCTACTTCCGGTCCCTTCTGGTCCAACCAAGGACAACCTCTTTCCCAGGTAACTGAACTAGCCTTCCATCTGGTCTCACTCTTTCCACCCTTGTCTCACAATCGTTTGTTCTCAGCACAGCAGCCAGAATCAGCCTTTCTTTCTTTCCTTCTTTCCTTCTTTCTTTCTTTCTTTCCTTCTTTCTTTCTTTCTTTCTTTCTTTCTTTCTTTCTTTCTTTCTTTCTTTCTTTCTTTCTTTCTTTCTTTCTTTCTTTCTTTCTTTCTTTCTTTCTTTCTTTCTTTCTCTCTCTCTCTCTCTCTCTCTGTCTCTTTCTTTCTTTCTTTCTTTCTTTCTTTTTTTATATTTATATTTAGAGAGGGAAAGGGAGAGAGAAAGGACAGAAACCTCAGTGTGTGAGAGCAGCAACTATCAGTTGCCTCCTACATGCTCCCCAGCCCATGGCATGTGCCTTGACAAGGAATCGAACCACCACCCTTTGGGTCACAGGCCAATATTCAGTCCCCTGAGCCACACCAGCCAGGGCCAGAATCAGCCTTCCAGAGCATTATATCAGGGCACATTACTTCTCTGCTTCAAACGCTATAAAGGCTTCCTGATGAGCGAGAGTAAAAATCCAAGGTCTGTAGTGACCTTCAGCCCTTCTCTTCTCTTGCTTACTCTACTTCTGGCACACTGGCCTCACTGCTGTTTCTTGTACAAACCAAACGTGTTTCCACCTTAGGCCTTTGCCCTTGCTGTTTGTTCCCTTTGCTAAGAATATATTTTCCAGGACGTCCCCATGATTCGCTCTTCATTTTCGCTCTACTGAAAATGCCTTATTAGAGAGTGGTCCCCTGACCACTGTTCAGAAGATCACCACCTCCCATATGGGAGATACGGGAATATCATATCTCCCATAATCTTATCACCATAGGATGTGCCCTGCGTTACTTGTTTACTTGTGTGCTGTCTGCCTCTGCCACTGGAATGTAAGTTCCAGCATGGTGGGGACTTTGCTTGGTTATTGATGTGTCTTCAGCTCCCACCCCAAACAATGCCTGGTACATAGCACGGTGATTCGTTGTATGGAGCATCTGAGAGAAGTCCTAGAGTCGTACAAAGGAAAACTGACACAGTTCCTTCTAAATTATAAGTTTGGTTCTAACAGAGTTTAGGTGTTTGATTAATAGTTTATTCCAGGGTGAGAAAATCTTACACCAAGATGAAAAGTGCACTACCAGACTGATAATTTTAAAATGGTTTTTCAAGCTCAGGAACCAGGTCTTATTAATTATTCTATTTCCTTTTTTAAAAAATTTCATTTATTTTTAGAGAGAGGGGAAGGGAGGGAGAAAGAGAGGGAGCAAAACATCGACGTGGAAGAGGAACATTTGACTGGTTGCCTCCCATACGTGCCCCCGACGGGTGGGGGGGGGGGCGGTGCGCTGAACCACGCACAGCCCAGGCCTCGTGTGCGCCCTGACTGGGAATCAAACTGGTGACCTTCTGCTTTGTAGGATGATGACCAGCCAACTCAGCCACACTGGTCACAGCAGTCGTTCTGTTTTCAAGATCAGGTACATGGTAGGCAGTTAGTATATGTTTGTTAAAGTAAATGGAGAAAGATATGTTTTCTGATAGTTATTTTGTTTAAAGTGACGTACATAAAATTTCTGTGCTCAAACTGTATTTTCATGACTAAATCATGTAAGAGCATGAGGGGTAAATTTTAGTACTTACTGATGTTCTTTATACACTGGGGGGTTATACGTTGCTCTAAAGGAATAAGTCATGTAATCCTGTACTAGTTTGTCAGGGCCGCCATCACGAAATACCACAGACTGTGTGACCGAAACAACGGCAATTTATTTTCTCACAGATCTGGAGGCTAGAAGATCAAGGTCAAGGTGCTGGCATGTTGTTTTTTCCAGCGCCTCTCTCCTTGGTGTACAGATGGCTGTCTTCTTGCTGTGCCCTCAGATGGACTTTCCTCCGCATGCACGTCTGTCTGCAGTGTCTGTGTGTCCAACTTTCCATCTCTTAGAAGAACACCAGTCAGGTCCCGACTGGTGTGGCTCAGTTGGTTGGGCGTTGCCCTGCAAAGCGAAAGGTCACCTGTTCAGTCCCATTGGATTACCTGTCAGCTCATATGCCTGGGGGGCTGGGTGGGTGGGTGGGGACTGAGAGGCAACTGATCGATGTTTCCCTCTCACACTGATGTCTCCCTCCCTGTCTTTCTCTCTCCCTTCACCTCTCTCTAAAAATAAATAAATTCAATCTTAAAAAAAAGAAGAATACCAGTCAGATAGGATTACAACCCACTGATATGCTCTAATTTAACTGTTACCTCTCAGAAGGCCCTGTCTCCCAATACAGTCCCCAAAGGTGCTGGGGTTTAGGACTTCGACCTGTGAATTTGGGAGAGGTGGGAGGGGAGCACAATTCAGCACACCACAAAATCCAATCTTTTCATGCAGAGAATTTCCTGAATTTGATAAGCAGAGTATATCATTACTAAATTAGTTATTGATGATTGTACTGATCCCTACTGCTCCTCTAACAAGTTACCACAAATTTAGTAGCTTATCTAATGCAGATTTATTAATTTACATTTCTGGAATTCAGACATTTCATTGGGCTAGAATCACGGTGTGGTAGAACAGCATTTCTTCTGGAGGCTCTAGGGCCGAAGTGCATTGCCTTGCCTCTTCCAGGGTCTGAGACTTCCTGGCTGCCTCGGCTCCCGCTCTCTTCCTTCACCTTCCAAAGCAGCAGTGGCTGAACCGGTCTCTGTCACGCTGATACTGCTTCAGTGGTCACACCTCCTTCTCTGACTCAGACCCTCCTACCTCCTTCTTTCCTTCCAGGGACCCCTGTGACTACATCCGGCCCATCCAGTTAATCCGGATGAACTTCCTGTCTCAAGATCTTTAATCACATCTGCAAACCCCTTTGCCACATAAAGTCATATATATATTCACAGGCTCTGGAGGTTAGGATAAAGGATGTCTCTCAGTGGGGGAGGGGGTAGCATTCTTCTGCCTAGCACAGAGATGCATGGTACAGCAGCTAGAATCTCAAAATCCAAAGCACGGCTGAATTTTTTTTGTCTAGATTTGCATTTTTAAAAATGATGAACTAATGTTTATTATTTTTAAAAGTCATTCATACACTGCAAAGTATAGAGAATTGTTTTCATGACAATTAAGGGTATTGCTTAATACAGACTACCTCTGTTCAAATCCTGGCTGCAAGACCCATTAGCTGTCTGACCTTGGGGAAATTCTTTAATCTCTCTGGACCTCAGTTTTCTCAACTGTGGATAATGGAAGTAATAATAATAACATCTACCTTAGATTCCTCCTTATGAGAACTAATTGAATGAAGTGCTTATAATTTGCCTAGCACATGGTAAGTGCTCAGTAAATTCTAGTTACTACAGATTTTAAATTTTAAAAAGTAAAAATTCCTTCTCTCTTCCTCCAGTTTCCAGAGCTACTTACTATAAATAATTTCATTTGCATTTGTCTTCTTTCTGTTTTGGATTGTGTGTGTTTGTTTAGAAAAATAGAATTGTTAAATCTTGAGTTTGTTTTTGCACTTAATTTATTGTGAACATTTTTCTGTTGTCATCTGTACATAAATACCCTGTTGTTTTAGAAGACTGTCTGGCATTCTGTTGCACACATATCCAGTCTTCAACTGAGGGGTGTTTTCAAAACCCTTCAGGTTCATTCTGGGACATACACAGTGGTGAGCAGAAGTAGGTTTACAGTTGTGAGTACATGGAACAGTTTATTTTGATCATTGTTATGTATTAATTATTGTATTATTTATTTGTATTGTTTATCTTCTCGTTGTTATTATTTTGTATTCTTACTTCTGGTTTATCTTTTAGGTATTGATGGCTGGCGATTTAACCTACTTCGCCCACCCCTGTGTATCTTTGTACACTTAGGTGAAAATGTCAGGAACAGAGGTTTCTAGACGTGGAATTGCTAATCCGAAGATACGTACATTATACACCTTGGCACTGGAGTATTCTGTTTGAGGGGGATTCCGGAAACCTTGCATTACATCAAGGATTACTTGACAGAGGATGATATTTCCCTTAACCAGCTGCAGTAGTCCTGTCACGGACGTAGTGCAAATACCACTCACACCTCGTTTGACCTTTGTAATTATGCCAACTTTATAATTATTCTGTTTTTGAGAGAACTTTAAGTTGGGTGATGTACATTATTTCAGTGTTCATAAAATGAGGCCTCATTAATATTTTGATGTCACAGTATTTCCACTGCGAGTAACTTAAACCTTTGCCAGACATTCGGCTCCATCGAAAATGTCTGCAGGGACATTTGGTCCATGTCAAAAGGCCTTTGAAATTCGCTCCTTTCACTTCTACTTTTGGTTTGCAGGATTAATACCTAAAAAATACTATCGTGTTCCACCGGTCCAGTAATTGTGTTGTGGCCGTATTGCCAGTAATAGCCCTCCTTGCCTGGGTAGCCTGGCTGCTAATGAGTGGCCTGTGGGATTAGGCAGATGGGCTGGGGGTTGCGTCTTGCAGGAGAAGGGGATTTATATTACCTGTGGACCAAATGTCTCTGTGGGCATTTTGGAGAGGACCAAAGGTCCACTGATCGTTCAAAACTTACGTACAGTGCCGGCCACTTCACTGTACTCACGGATTGCCTCCCCCCAGAGCTGCTGTGTTAATGATGTGCTCAGGATACAGGGTTTTCTTACACCTTTGCCATCACTAATTAGCTATCGCCATCTTTTTGTATTTTTTCCAGTCAGCTGGTGAAATTAGTATCTTGTCTAATTAACGTTATCCTGATAATGAGTAAGTTGAGCCTCTTGTCATGTTTAATTGCCATTTATATTCTTTCTGTCATTTGACTGTCTGTCCATGTGTCTGTGAACTTTGAAATTTTTTCTTTCTGAGACTTTTAAAATCTGAGGAAACATCTATAGATATTTTATCTAACTTAAATACATAGAAACAATCAGGAAATTAGCAATTGGAAACTTTAAACAAGATGTAGTTTAAAATAAAAATGTGCCAATACAAACTCAATTGAAAGCACTGATTCATGGGTTGAGATGAAATCCAACTTAAAAATAAGTTGTTTTCAATTGAAAGTCAAAGGAATATGGGAGTCATCTCATGGGATGGGGCCCTTATTCCTGTTAAATCTGATATTAATTCCAGGTAGTTAGTCTCAGAACAGAATTGAATTGTAAACATTTATAATCTTATTAACCAACATCACCCCGGTGCATTTAATTAAGAAGTAAAAAGAAAAAAAAAAGAAGTAAGTTGTTTTCCAACTTATGTTCATTGTAAAATCAGTTGTTTAGATCTGTGAATGAGTTCTAAGCAGTGGTTAAGTATTTAGGGCAACCCTCAAAAATCCCTGGGAGAAAACCAAATGAGAGCAACCGTATTTTTCTGAAGCAAATGACAAAGATCATTTATTTCTGGAATTGCACGTGAAAGGAAATGTGGGAGATACAGTTTCGATGTCAAAGTTTTGAAATTGCTTTGGACAGTTAGATGATTATGGAGAGAATGGGACTGAATGTTTGAAATGGGGACAATAATGGAAAAATGATAGCAGTAATAAACACTAATATTCTGAAATATTGGCCTGAGTTTCCGATCTTAGGAATAGCAGCACACAGAAGTCAGAAAAGTGGGAAAGAGCCGTCCTTACCTTCTTAACCTAGGCCAGCCCCGTGTGTGGACCTGTAGTTCAGTTTTCTGGAGGTCCTTACTTCAGGCTTACATCTCAGCCTTGGCGCTGGGACTTCCTTTTCTCCTGCCTAACCACCACCTCTGACTCTACTCCTGTCTTATGGGCTGCTCCCTGTCTGCAGTGTGGATTTCTCGAGTTTCTGCAGACCAGGATGGGAGAGTGTTGGGGACAGAAGCCCGAGGAGACAGCTGGGGGTGGGGGGCAGTTTCTTCTGCATCCTCCCAGAGGCGATCTGTGCGTATGTACAAAATACATTAACATGAAAAGAAGAATCGTGTACCTCATGTGCTATACCTTGACGTTTAAAAGCTTTTAAATTTGGAACTATCTTACAGCTACAAAAATATTACAGATACCCAACACCACTAACCAAAGATCTCACCATTAGTCACATTTGCTTCATTTAATCCAAATGATCAAATATGTTGGTGAAGTTACTCAGAAGATCCTCTCCTTCCATTGTCTGTGGTGTTTTCTGCTTCATTCCTTGATCATGGTAACTTATGCTTTTTATTTTTTATTTTTTGGTTGGGGGGGTTGTTTTATTGTTTTTCAAAAAACTAACTTTTAGTTCTACTGATTTTCTCCATTTTCATTAGTAATTTCTCTTCTTAACCTTTATTATTATTTCTTTCCTGCTACTTTCTTGAGGTCTGATTTTTTGTTCTGTTCCTGGCTTCCTGCAACAGAAGCTTGATCATTGTGTACAGCCGTTTCCCCCCTAAATTTTCTTATAAGAGCTGCGTCATCTCTATTTGATAAATTTTGATAAGTTGTTCTAGTCTCATTCATATTAAAATATTTCCTAAATTCTATTTCGATTTCTCCTTTGGTTCATAGATTATTTAGAGATATTTCATTTAATTTGCAGGTAGTTGGGGATTTTTTCAGTTACTTTCCCTGCTACTGGATCCCCTCCTTGACTTTTAGCCTAATTGCATGTGATCAGAGAATCCGCTCTGCAAGGTTTTCATTCTGTGTCATCCTTCCTCAGGGCCAAACTGCTCTCCTTATCATCCCAGTTTTATATACATGCTGCTGAAGGGAGCACCGTATTGACTTAACATCCTTTAAAAAACTTAAAAAAGTTACATACATATTCAAATTTCTACCCCTCACCTATCAATTTCCCCTCTATTCTCTCTTATTAGCTGTTCTAAAGTTGGTGTCATTTCCAAACATATTTATCATACATAGTTACAACTATACATATAATATGTATGCTATTTTTATGTTTAACATTTTATGTAAACATATCAAACTACGTCATTTTTCAACTGTGTTTTACCCATCAACACTGTTTTTGAAATGTGTCCATGTTAATGTATGTGGATCTAAGTCATTCGTTTCAGTGGTCTTCTATTATATTATAAAGCATAGTTTATTCAATCATTTCCTTGACTGAGGCTAGTTAGGTATACCAGTTTAGAAGTATTAAATCTTCCTGGCGAGTTGTTTCTTCTATCAATACGCAGTGGTCTTTCTTATCACCTATAGTGAGTTTTACTTTAAGGTATATTTTGTCTGCTAGTAATATGTTTTCTTTTTCCCACACTATTGCTTTCACTTTTCCGTGTCATTAGTTTTAAGCATGTCTCTTATAAACAGCACATAGGCAGAATCATTTGCGTGTGTATGCATGTGTTGTCTGTCTGAGTCTTTTCCCAGGCATGGTTAGTTCATTTACATCGATTATGATTACTACTGCGCCTGCGGTCCCTATCATCTCATTTTGTGCATTCATCGTATTGTATACTTTTTCTTTGCCCTTTTGTTTGGCCCCGGTTTTCTCTTTTCTTTTTGTTTCCTTGATTCCACTTTCCCCCCTTAAGACAGAGACTGTGTTTCCCCCTACCTTGCAGATGTGGCGGTGTGGCCCAGTTTCGCTCAGTAAGATGTGAACCGAGCTCTTCCACAGGGCTTCTCAGAAGGTGACTCCAGATGGGGACACACCCAGCTTCCATGCACATTTGTGTGCCCTGCCCTTCCCCTGTTACCTGTGCACCACAGCTGGGCCTTGGGAACAGGAGTCCTGGGGCTGACCGCCGCCTCCTAGAATGTGAGGCAGAAAGATTGAAGGACCCCGGACATTACTGACTTCATGGAGCTCCCACACCAGTCCTTGCAGCCCACCTTCAGAATCCAGTTGTGTGAGAAAAAAAAGGAAAAATCCTATTTGTTAAGCCACCTTAAACTGAGTTTTCTATTTTGTTCGTTTGTGAACCAATCTCCAACTGACTACAGAGCAACTCTTTTGGAAATTATCTTTATATTTCTTTGTCCCTTCTCCCTCCTGCCCTCTCTCCCTTCCTAGATTAAAAAAATACAATTACACAGGTAATATGGGTTTATTATAGTAGACCTGTATGGCTGAAAGCTTTTCTAAAGAAAAAGGGCTTATTGAGCCTTGTGTGGGCCAGAGAAAGGACCAGGCCCTGAGGCGTGCAGTCCAGACCCTCAGAAGGCAAATCTGCCCCCTGGGCGATGTGCCTACAGATTTGGGGAAGAAAAGCTGTAAGTTGTTTGGAAAGAGTTTACGTTGGCTGTTTACAGGTGCGGGAGAAGGTGAAGCAGGGCAAACCTGGGGAGAGGTGCAGAGTCCGTGGGGAAGAAGTGTTGGCCCTTCCACGTTGGTTGTGAGCGAAGCCTGGAAAGTTAATGTGTAAGCAAGATGCTGTGGCCCTGAGTGGCCAGCTGTTCTCTCCAGAAAATCTCTGAAACGCCCACTTGGAAGTGAGTTCAAAGTTCAGTGTGCGCTCGGGAATGGAAGCAGTGTTCTGCTGGTTTTGCCCTGCAATGGTTAACTGGTTAACCTCTCCGGTCCCTTCCTGCCACCTTCTGCTCTGGCTTGCTGTAATTTAATTTAGGACTTGTGAGTTTGTTTATTTTTCTTGTCAGTGGAAAGATTAGGAAAGAGAAATGTCAAGCCAAAAAACCCCAGAAAGTTACCACCCAGATTTAACTACTGTTACAATTTGAAAATGTATCCTTCCAAACATGTTTGCCTATTTGTTAGAGCCAGAGATAATTTTCTTTAATTCAATGATGAATTACCATAATATAAGTAAACTAACAAACATGAAAATTATGCAAATATTTTAAAAGCATTCAAGAGTAGCTGATAAGTACTGTTTGGAAAAATATTTAAATTTTTACTTTACTTGTTTATTTTTTAACTATTTTTATTGTTGACACTATTACAGATGTCCCCATTCCCCCTGCGTCCTTTGTCCATCTGCAACCAGCCGCCCTCCCGAGTCCCTCTGGCTGTCACCACACCGTTTCAGTGTCTCTGCGTCACTCCTGCATGTTCTTTAGCTGATCCCTTCCCCTTCTTTCATCCAGTCCCCCTCCCCTCTGACAGCTGTCAGGCGGTTCCATGTGACCTTGCCTCTGTTTCTATTTTGTTCGTCAGTTTATTTTGTTCACTGGATTCCACATATAAGTGAGATCATGTAGTATGTGTCTTTCTCTGACTGGCTTATTTCACTCAGCATAATAATCTCCAGGTCCACCTGTGCTGTCACAGAAGGTAAGATTTCCTTCTTTTTCACAGCTGTGTAGTACTTCACGGTGTAAATGCACCACATGTTTTTTACCCCCTCATCTACTGATTGTCATCCATTTCTTGGCTGTTCAGGGAGCTGGGGCGAAAAAACAAACCAGCCCTCATCTCCCTCTGTATTGAACATGTGAGGTCGATGGTTATATTGGTTGATTCTTTGTGAACCTTTTCCTAATTTGGAAAGAACAAAGCAGGTATGAAAAATATTAGGCACAATTATTGAAAAAGTTAACACAATTTTCATGAAATATCCATCTATTTCTCTTTTTGCCTGTTTTGTTTTTTTTCTATTATGTAAAGATAAGGATAAAAAGAAGGTAAAGAGGAAGCAAGCAAATTTGGTCGAGAAACTACATATAACAATAGGAGAACAAGAATGAAATAAAATTAAGAGATACGCGTCAGACCAATCTGGGGAGAGGGGGCGTGGCATAAAAACCTCCTGGAGCAGCATCTGTGCTGGGCGGGGGGTGTGCAGGGGGCCCTGGCCAGTGCTGGGGAGGTTGACGGGTGGGGGGGATGCTGATGCTGCTGAGACTGGTCAAGTGAGTTGTCTGGACTGGAATTTGGTGCTGATGAGGTCAAGGGCATGCAGCCCATCACTATGCTAAACACTGAGTGTCCCTAACAGGTCTGATGTCAGGGCAGGGACGGGGATCAGAAATACTTGCCTCACACATGCTTGCCCCTGGGCCCACAGGCAGCGGGGTGAAAGTGGGGGTGCTCAGCATAGTCTGTGGGAAGGGGGTTGGGAGGAACAGGAGGAGTGTGCCCCAAAGCCTGTGTCTTAGTGACAATGCACAAGAATTGTGCTGGTTTCTTTGAATTGCAGTTCAAATTGCCTTAATATTTGGTGGAAGAATATTGGACTACGTCCTCAATTTGTGCGAAGGTAGATTTGACTTCCTCGAGCGGCTCTCAGACAGTTTGCTGCTGAATATAATTTCTTATCTGGATCTCGAAGATCTTACCAACCTTTCTCAAACATCACGCAGATTTTCAAAGGTAACAGTCAAATATTTTGTGTCCATAGAGAATTTTCCTTTGTGCTTTCTCAGAGTTGTTTCTTTTCTTTTCTTTTTTTAAAAATAGCATTTACTGCCCTGGCTGGTGTAGCTCAGTGGATTGAGTTCGGGCCTGTGAACCAAAGGATCACGGTTCGATTCCCAGTCAGGGCACATGCCTGGGTTGCAGCCCAGTTCCCAGCAGGGGACGCATGACAGGCAACCGTACATTGATATTTCTCTCCCTCTCTCCTTTCCTTCTAAAAAGAAATAAATAAAAAATACTAAAAAGAGCATTTATCCTTTACATTAATCTCAGCAAGCATGTGTTGAATACTTACTTTATGACAGGCACTGTCGTGGGCAGGGAGGCAGCAGAGATGTGCAGATGTTATTTCTGCCCTCGAGAAACTCACAGTTTAATAGGAGAGATCCGTACAGAGGCAGAGTATTACAACGTAGTGGGACCAGTTCAACAAGGGATGTGTGTTCAAGATACAAAGGTAGTACAAAGTGCTTTCTTCTGCCCACTTTTACTGAAGTGGGCTATTGCATCTGGGTTTTGAGGGGGAATAGGAGTTCACAGGTGGTGTGGCAGACTAGAGGTGTTCCAGATCAAGGGGTGTCTCAAGTTAAGGTGCCAGCGGAGGCAGGGGCATGGCAGTGCAAGAGAGTAAGGCAAGTAGTGACCGTCCCCCATCCATTTTCATTTTTTCAGTAAAAGCCTTTTGCCGAATTACTTACCTCCCAGAACGGGTGGTTCCGGGGGACTTTCTCATAGTGCCCTGTCTCCTGCACACCCCAGGCTGACTAAGTGGACTCGCTCTCATTACTCGGAATCCTCAGCAGAACAATGTCGAGCAGAAAGCACCGCTGGTACTGATTTCACTCAATGTCAGGGCCTTGATGTGAGCGTTATTAGTTCCTCTCCTGACCCTGGGAGGTGCCTTGGTCGCTGCCCTTTCAGCTACTTTGTAAGTTGACTTCCTTCCTGCACCCCCACCCCCGAAAGAGGAGGGCTAGAAACAAGTACTGTGAGCAATGAATACACACCCACCTGTATTCTCGAATATCTGTATATATATGTAGCCGTTAAAAATCAGTTAAAGTCCAGATTTTTGTTCTTACTTTCAATGAGGAGAACTGGAAGTAAATGAAAGATTCTAGTGGAGGCTTATTAAGAGCTTCTGCCAGGGCCTGGCGTGTTCCTGAAAGTGAATGGAAGGATTCGGTAGGAAACGGTGGTTTCGGCCGTGTCTGGTGGAATCTGTTCCTTACATCAAGTAACTGTCTTCTGTCCAAGGGTTGCCTACTCCCACTCTTACTCCCCCCCCCTTGCTGCCTTGCCACTTTTTCAGTGCAATCTTGAAAATATTCTCCATACCTCACTGGTGCTCTAAAGCCAATTTTGGTCCTTAGTGATCAGGTGTATTTTAATAGATCCTGTCGAGAATGAGAGCTACAGGGTCACCTTTGTGAGACAGAAAGGTTTCCAAGGCCAGACCTGACTCCACAGTAATAGGTCCGCTTTGGAAGCTTAAAGACACATGGAGACAGTGTGTGGACTTGGTCCTGGGAGGGCCCACGGTGCCATCCCCTGTGGAGGATGGAAGTGTCCGCTTATCAAACATGATGCCACTGGCAGTCAGGATTGTCCTGCGGCCTGCCCTTGCTCCCCTTGCTCTGATTCTGTGTGGACCAAGCCACAGCCTCCATGGTGAAGGTCCGGTGGTCTGGCTGTGTTTCTCAGGGTAGACCACCGAAGAGGCAGCCTCTGGGAGCGTGGCCAACAGCACGCCTGAGAGGTGAACCTTGGGATGGCGGTGAGCTCTCCACGTTGACGCTGCCTGTGGGAACCTGCCCGAGGGCCTGCTGGCCCCAGGTGGCACCAGGCACTGGTGCTATGGCTTTTCTGCAAACAGCACCAGAGAAGACCCTAAGAAACCCCCCACTGCAGCCCGATGAGAAGGCTGAGGCTGAGACACGGGAGGGGCGGTTGTGACTCAGGAGCACCGAGGAGGAAGGTCTCTCCTCTGTCACATTTTGGCTATGAACGGACGTTTGCTCATGCCCCTTACCCGTGGCTCCCGAGTCCGGGTGAAGGCACCAGGGAGCTGGTGAAGCGGGCGATGCCAGGCCCAGCCCGAAGGGTCTGACTTCAGGGGGCTAAAGTGGACCCCGCCTCTGTGTTCTGAGCGTGTTTTCTTGTGTTTACGGCAGCTAAATTCCAAGAGTCTGGTCCAAGAATTTGGCTCATTGATTATTAGAGTTGTACAAATAACATATTTCAAGAGATTCTATAAAAGGCTAGAAGCTTGCGGTGGGGAGAGGGGGTTTTCCCATCTTTATTGTGACCAGGCTAACAGGTGTTTCAAACAGCAGGTGGCCAGAGAGCTGGGTTCTGTTCTTAACTCAGGCACTCTTGGGTTGAGCCTTGGGCAGCTGCACCCTTTTCCTCTTTGAGTCTTTATTTTCCTCATTTGCAAAAAGAGCTTTTAACTAGATAAGCCCTAGGATTCCTTTCAACCTTTATCATAGCTTCTGTATGTTAAGTTCATGCACCACCACCAGGGGGCGCTAAAAGCCCACATTTTGCTGTGCTTGGAATCAAAGTTACTGGAACCATAAGGCAGGATGGGTACCTTGTATTTTGCAACCTGTCATTTATCAAACAAAAAAGCCCAGGGTCTGGGAGTCTTAGATGAGGGTATTTTATGACTGTAATATAAAACGAAACTGTAAGTATTTTCAGTATAAAATGAGTTGTAAATGAAGTTACACTGGTGGAAATTGTAGCTATCTGGAGAATTCTTTTCCTTCCCCAAAACCTCACCGTCTTCTCCCATAATCTCATTACATAAGACACACTGATATCCTGAAATGTATTTACTGGAGATGGGATAGTTATCTACAATATAGTTAGATATAGTTAGGGTTTAAATCTTTTAAAGGATGCTCAGATCTGTTAGGTTTTTTAAAATTAAGCCATGTTCTAACTTTTCCTTGTTGTTTATATTGAGAAGAATATGCTTTAATCTGAATAGAGAAACTAGATCTTTAATGACTGGTGAAGATGGAAGGGGACAATGAGCAACTGCCTAACATCACAGTGTTTTGGGGGCTGTCCCTGTCCTAAGAGTCACTGTCACCGATTGACCGATTGACAGGAACCTGCATGTGACCATAATAGTGTTTGCTCTGATGTTCATGCAGAAAGAGTTTTAAGTGATTATACTTTGTTCTACTATTCATCTCTGTTTGTAAATCATTTTCCCCCTTATCAGAGTACTTTTATAGTAGCATGAAATCTGGAAGTAAAGAGTACTGGCTGCTTTCTCCTCAAAAACTAATGCAATGGAGTCATGAAATAGAGATAATGCTGAGCCCGTGTTTCCTCCTCCCCATGAAGCAGTTAGGGTCCAAGGGAGCTAAGCAGGCAGAGGAAGGGTCTGTGTAGGCGAGAATAGCCAGGTCAGAAGAGAGGATGCTGTGGACTGGTTTGCCCAGTGCCCACGTGACCCCTTTGTGCCTGATGGAGTTGCCTCTGTGTACTGTACAGGCGGGAAAGATAAGAACGGCTTCAGTCAGGCAGGCCTACCCGTTTGGAAGAAAGGGTTTTGGCAGGGACACACGAGCAAGGTGAGGCAGCCTCCAATGCACAGGACCAGTTCTTCCTACAAACACGGTCCTGGAGGTGCACAGGGAAGGCTCTAGTGTCTGGTGCAAGGCTTCATCGCATCCTACGTTCCAAGTGTTGGGGGGCAGAAGCAGTGTGATTTTTGTGGAATAGTCTGGGTGGGTTTTTTTCTTGTTTCATTTTTATTCTGGCTGCTGTTCTGTAGCATTGAATTTGTTCCCTCTGGTTTTACTAGATATTCTGTGAGCAACCTGTTGCCTCTGCTGACTCCCCTTCTGCTTAAACAACCGAGGTTACATTCTGTGGTCTGGAACCAAGAGCCCTGACCAGCACCACAGACATTGCCTATCGCTTGGTTGGGTGCATGGACGAATAGTGTACTGGAAACTGTGAAGCAGCTTCTCTGGCCCCCAACTGGAGTAATTTTAGTTTGTATTTCACTCTTCTTTTACATTTTTCCCCTTACTGTTAGTTTTCACATGTCATTTTTCCCTGCCTTCACTCTTTTGCCTCAGTATCAACCACCCTTCTAAGTAGCTGTAGCTGAACTGCTAAGGGCTACAGCAGCACACACTGAACTAAAACCACTTCTGAGGGGAGGAGGAGGATGAGGCCGAGAGTGAAGGCCCTTCCTACGGAGTAAAGGGCGTGGGTTTCAGCCCATTGGTTCCCAGCAGGCCTTTCCCTTCCTTGTCATCATGTGCCCGTGTTTCTAGGGGTTCAGATCCTACAAACTGACACCTTCTGAGGTAGGGCGCGACCAGATTTAGTATTCTGGAAGCCCAGGGATTGTACCACGCCTGTCTCCACTATTAAAGCGGGCAGGTTGCCCCCCAAAAAGAAATTTTAAGTGGTGACAGTGATGAGTGCAGTCTATTTTTATCTTATCAATCAGGTCAACTCTCTTTATTATTCATAGGCACTTGATCTCTACCAGCCATTTCCATACATAATCTTGTTCCCCACTAGTGTGGACCTTTGAGGGACCCCTCACTTTGTGCCATTCTTTGCCTCCTTTTAGAAGAAGCCTTTGTGGCAGTTCCCATGGACGGGCCTGTGTGCAGAGAGGAAGGGCCCTGGCCAGCGTGGGCTGGACTGCTGATCCGAGGGGGCTGGGGGCTCCTCGTCGATCCCCCACCAGGCCGAGCTCTTCCCACTCCTGGAATTTCACATGTTAACCAATGTATAGAAGCAACGAAAGGAGGGAGTCAGGCTGGTGTTTGACCGCCCCTGCGCCTTGTTGGCACAGGAAGGGTGGAGCAGGAAGTGTCTGTTGCTGAGGCCACGTGGAGCCCTCCCTCCTTACAGCTCCTGCTGCGTTGCTGGAGGCTCTGCTCTGCAGCAGCAAACGCCCAGGCTCCTTTCAGTGTCTGTCTGTGCACACACCACAACCATGGCTGTTCCGAAGGGCGGGGCTACCGGAGAAATGTAACAGAAGCTTTGTCTTCCGGAAGGATTTGGGGGCCTGTAAGACGTCAGGAAACCTCCATTTCCATAGTGTTTAGAAGCAGGGGACTGATGAGAGTAGCTGCCATATGTAATGGTGCCACCTGAACTTGGAGGGAGGACAGAATGGCCTTGTGCAGCTATTGGGCCAGAGGGGTCTCGTTTGTCTCCAGCCTCATGGCCCCTGGTTCAGGTCTCAGAATGCAGAAGAACATCTCGGAGAAGGCCGTTCCTGGGGAACAGCTCACTTTGCCAGGTGCCAGGCGGGCTTGGGGAGTGGATGGAATCTTGTAGGCCACTCTGGGGCATCGTGCGATGTCACATGTGCCAGGGACTTGGAGCAAAACTTGCAGCACCAGGAATGGCTGGGTTTTCTGTGTGCCCACTGGCAGTGTCTGGTGGCTGCTGGGTGGTTTTGATGCCGGTCAGCGCTGAGTAGCCTGTAGTGGACTGAGCTATGAGTTGTCCAAGCCCAGGGGAGAGATGGCCTGAGCAAGGCTTTAAAACGAATGCAAATTTAGCGGGAATTACCTGCTCCCACACGAGTAGCTAATGCAGCACTGGGTACAAGATCTGTCGACCACACACACATTCTCAGCCTCTGCTATGTGGCTAATTGGAAATTAATTAAATAATGTTGTATATGAACTATAGTGAAATCAGGATTTATTCCATTAATCAAATATTGCTTTGTCCTTCATTTCACTTTATTTTTAAATGTTTATTTATTGATTTCAGAGAGAGAGAGGAAGAGAGAGGGAAAAAAACATTGATTTGTTGTTCCACTTATTTATGCATTCACCGATTGCTCCTTGTATGTGTCCTGACCAGGGATTGAACTCACAACCTTGGTGTAGTGGGACAGTGCTCTAACCAACTGAACTATCCTGCCAGGGCAGCTTTTTATCCCTTAGTTACTTGTGCACTTGCCTCTTTCCTGGAGGCAGGAACTACGTCTGGCACACCTTCTTGCACAGGTGGTGTTCCCTGCAGTGCCTGCAGGCAGCAGGACGTGGATGGGGACCTTGTGAGTGAGCGCATGACTTTCACTTAGCCCACTTCTGACTTTTCCGTCCACAGCTGTGCAGGTCTGACCAGCTGTGGGAGCTGATAGTTCGGTCTGCCTGTGACAACCTCACCCCCGACTTGAGGGCCCTGGCCGAGGAGATGGGCTGGCGGCAGATGTTCTTCACCAACAAGCTGCAGCTCCAGCGACAGATCCGCAAGAGGAGACAAAGACAAGAGAGCCAGGGCGGCAGTGGGCTTTAGGGACACGGTTTTTTCCTGCAGGGGCATTGAGGCATGGTTGTGTTTTTCTGCTGTGTCCAAATCTTCCCTGTTTCATTAAGGACTGAGAGGTGTTGCTGGTTTAAGGAGCCATCTGAAAAGCCCAGAGTGTTTGCTCACAGACACAGCAAAGCCAACTCTGCGGGGCTTTGCCTGACCACGCAGCGAATCGGTCAAATCTGTCGGTCAAATCTGTCGACTCAGCCCCCGCTGCCCAAGGACTGCAGGACAGGAAGCCCCGCCCTCAATGACTTCCCCATCTCCCCCTCCACATCCACAGGAAAAGAGGCTTCTGCTGTATAGAAGCAAACAATAAATGATTCTTAGCAGGCTTTTATTACATATCATACTATCTAGGCATTGGAAAAGGAAACCGAGCTTTTGAATTCTTTTCCTGGTCATCTGAGTTCATCCACGGAGCCCGTGGCCACGTGTGTCCACAGGGAGCTGTGAGGGGCAGTGGCCTCGGGAGGCGTCCCGGTGAGCGCAGCTGCCTTCCCCACTCTGTGCCTCTGAGTGTGCGTTCAGGGCCTGACCTGTGGGCCTGGGGTGCCAGGTGTCACCCCCCTGGGGCAGAGACAGCTCTGCCCTGGCCCTGGGGCACCGCTGGAGACCAGGTCAGGCTTACCCTCCGGGGACTGCACATTGCCACGGAAACCTGTAAGTGTTCTTAGAGGCGCATGTTCCCCAAAGGAAAGGGAACAGTTACCACTTTCGCAATGGGTTTGAAGAACACAGGCTCTGGGTAAGTGAGTAAAAACCTAAGTATGGTTTGTGCTCTGTTAACTTGGCAGAGGGGTGGAACAGTAGAGTCTTGGGGGAGGAAAGGCTGCGTCCCTGAGATGGGTTATTTAAAAATGGTTTTCTTCCTGCGCTGTCCTGACGGTGGGGTCCCCCAGACAACAAGCTTGTAGCAGCAGGTAGTGACTCATGACTCCTCTCAGGCCAGAGAGGAAAGCAGCTCTCAACCTCCCATCCCCTTGTGCGCCTTCTCACCCCTTCTTTCCTGTAGCCTCCATTTTGCTCCCTAGAAAAGAGGGACGTACCCAGCCCCACCCCTGCTCCATGCCAGAGAGACTCCAGTGGTGCAGTGGCACCGCCCTCCTGGTGCAGAGAGGTGCACCCTGGCTGCCCTCCGCCCTAAATCCTTCCAGGACGGTTCCATAGCCACGGCTCAGTGACAGACTGTTTTCTTTACTGAACCTGTGCTCACAGCAGACCGGCCCCATTCACCCACCCTAACACCTGGTCTTAGATTTCCAGGGACATCTGTGACATCAAATGTAGGCTGCTTCCTTGTACGTAAGGAGCCTGTCAAAGTTGTGTTTGTATTGGGTCCAAGCACAGAACAAAGAGCTCATTGATGACAGACCCAGGCCTCGTTCCCAGTCCCAGAGTGATTCCGCCAGGCGCAGGGTGACTGGCAGGCGGGCAGAGGGCCCTGCTCTATGGCTCCTGCTGCCCATTTCTCTGTGAAGTTCCCGGCCTCACTCGGGGCCACGTTTTCGGTGATGGAGCGCAGGTTAATGCAATGTGTGTGCAGCAGTTCGTGGAAGCGCAACTTGGTACGTCATCATAACCGTATATTATAAAACTGCCCATCGCTTGCAGCATCTGGGCAAAGTGCCAGCAGCATCCCAACTTCATACACTGGGTTTTGTCACCTAACAGATTCTGAAAGCTATGGGCCTCTCACTCACCTGGATTCAACAGGAACCAGTGAGGACACAGAAATGGCCATTTAAAAACTTTTAGTGTGAAGAGATAGTGAAGGTAAATGACAATTAAAATGGGTTATCAATATGTTGACTACTGTTTTCATTTTTATTTTAATTATTTTATTGTTGTTCAAGTACAGTTGTCTGCATCCCCCCCCCATTTCTCCCCACTCCAGCCACCCACCTCCTTCCCCTGCTCCCGCCGCCCCCTTGGTTGTCCATGTGTCCTTTATAGTTGTTCCTGAAAACCCTTCTGACAATTGTTAAGTAATGGTTAAAGTAATGTAGGTTAATAGATTATTAAACTGTAAGTATTCGCCCTAATAATTTGGGTGCCACGTTACCTGACTCTGATAACTTTGGCCCAAACACGAACAATTATCATCAACCTAAAACCCTACTGCGTAGCACCCACAGCCTGCAGCGTGGAAATATCACGTACCACAACATTTATCCTCTTAAAGTGGTTTTTATATATTCACGAATTTGTGTGACCACCCCCATTATCTAGTTCCAGATCACTTTCGTCACCCCAGGAAGACATCCTGTGCCATTAGCAGTCACTCTCCGCTCCCCTCTTCTCCCAGCTCCTGGCAACCCCTCGTCCACGTTCTGTCTCTATAGATTTGCCTGTTCTGAATGTTTTATAGAAATGGAATCACACAAAAATCAAAGGATGTTTTAAAATATTTTATGAACTATGAAAACATCTGGAAGATCTTAAAGCTCAGTGTCCCAAATGACTAAAGCATTGCATTGTAAAATCATAAACAGGCCAAAGAGTCATTCAAATTGCAAGACACATCAACAGCCTTTTAATGTGATTTTACAGAGATTTCATTGATATCATGTCAGATGCCACACTGCAAATAATTTTGAAGAAATATTGCTTGTTGAGTTTGGGTGGGATATCAATAGCTCCCCTCAATTATTTAAAAAAATTTCAAGCCCTGGCTGGGGTGGCTCAGTGGACTGAGCGCCAGCCTGCAAACCAAAGGGCTGCTGGTTCGATTCCCAGTCAGGGCACATGCCAAGTGCCCTGGTGGGAGGCATGTGACAGGCAACCACACATTGATGTTTCTCTTCTTCTTTCCTCCCTTCCCATCTCTCTAAAAATAAATAAATACATAAAATCTTTAAAAAGCTTTTTAAAAAATATCCCACCCCTTTCCAACTACATTTAATAAGTATGAGGCTGCATTTTCTTCATGTCAATCAAAACCACGTATTACAACAGAAGGAATGCAGTAGAATCTAGCTGTCTTCTTTGAAGACTGAGATAAAAGAAATTTGCAAAAATGTAAGACAATGTCACTATTCTAATTTTTGAGGAGGGAATATGGTTACTTTTCATGAAAGTTTTTGTATATTAACATAATAGGCTCATCAAAGTTATTTTAAATTTAATACATATTTAAATTTTTTTCTTAGTTCTGCTTTCTAATAAAGTATGGTAAATATCAATAAGATGCAACCTACAGAAATGACGTCTCTTTGAGTCTTCATTGGTTTTTAGGAGTATAGGGACCTGAGACCCAAGAGTTCAGGACCTTGATTCTAGCACTGGTAGTCTGAGTCTTTCAGTTGACAGACACACTGATGATGGTTCTTCGACCATCTTCCCGAACCTCTCTGTATCTGTTACACTGTCGGTGGCAGTTTCATTTAAACAGGTTACCAGTCAACTTGCCCTTGGTTTGGTTATCGCACTGACACCATCAGTTCTGTGCAGCAGCATCTGGCTTCTGCACGCTAGCGAGGGAGCAGGCGCTGCGTCAGCTTGCCTCGTTCTTACAGGTTCTGCTTGGTTTGCATCCGTTGGTTGAGAAAGAAACGTGGAGGAAGAAAGACCTAGTCAAATAAAAATATTATACACTATGAATGCTCCAAAGATAGTGATTGACCAGGATGTTGTATAAAAGGAAATAATCAATGCAAGAGAGGCAGGACAAGTACTTGACCTTGATTGGAATGTTTTACTCTTAAGTATGTTGATGCGGGTCTCCAGTCTTAGTGAACCTAAGAATCAAATGATGAATTTATCTAAAAGGCAGGTTTAGTGGAGTCATCCCCCAAGATTCCAATTCATTAGGTTTTAAGTTGCCCCAGGAATCTGTATTTAAAAAACCTTAGCTACAAGTTTTAAGTAGAAAAAGCATCATGTGCATAAGGAAAAAAGTCAAACCCTCCCCAGTCCCCAAACATGTTTGGGTTTTTTTGTTTGTTTCCTTCCAGAAATGTCCCATCCATACACAGGCCACATGAGTAACTTTCTTTCATTGTTAACAGAACACAAAGTGGGGGGCACACTAACTATGTTTTCTCTTTTTTCTTTTAGCCATATATCCTGGATATTGTTTTCTCGTTTTGCATATGAATCTATCTTTTAAAAAAGTCACATAGCCCCGGCTGGTGTAGCTCAGTGGATTGAGCGCGGGCCTGTGAACCAGACAATTGCGGTTCGATTCCCAATCAGGGCACATACTGGGGTTGCAGGCCAGTTCCCAGCAGGGGACGCATGAAAGGCAACCATACATTGATGTTTCTCTCCCTCTCTCCTTCCTTTCCCCTCTAAAGATAAATAAAATCTTAAAAAAAAGTCACATAAATGCTATATTTTATTTAACAGTTCCCTATTCATGGACAATAAAGTTATTCCCAGTCTTTTGCAGAGTGAGCAATAAATAAAAAAAATTCTTGTTCATTTGTCTTTGTTCACGTGTAAGAAGTTTTAGAAATGCAACCGGTAGGTGGAAAGGTGTATGCTTTTTTTTCCTTTTTTTAAAATTTAATTATTTTTCAAGTACAGTTTTCTCTCTTTTACTCCCGTCCCAGCCCCCCTCCCCCGCCATGCCCCCCACCTCCCTCCCATTTCCACCCTCTTAGCTGTTGTCCATGTGTCCTTTATACTTGTTCCTCTAAATCCTTCCCCTTTTTCTCCTGGAATTCCCTTCCCTCTCCCCTCTGGTCACTCTCCCCCTGTTCTCTATTTCAGTGTCTGTTTTTATTTTGCTTGCTTGTTTGTTGTGTTGTGTAGCTTCCGGTTAAAGGTGAGATCATATGGTATTTGTCTTTCAACATGTGGCTTATTTCATTCAGCATAATGCTGAGTGAAGGTGTGTGTTTTTTAAACTGAGTAGCGGGACTCTGGCACCCTGGAGGTGCTCTTCCCCTGGGCCATGACCATACCTAAGAGAAACTGCCAGAGGAAGAACCACATGCATAAACATCAATTCCACTTCAGGAGTCAAAAGGACAAAATTTATTTAGTTGTATATAAGTAAAAATTACTTGGATACATGAGGGGAAAACTACAAAGCACATAACGTAAATATACAACGAACCTCTTATAGTATCTTCAAAGAGTCATAACATTTTAAACAGGAAATATTAATATGTGTGCTGTAATTCTTTGTAGCATTCTCTTTCATTCTGTTGTCGACATGAATATTGCAGGCAGATTTTACTCTATGTTTGTGAAATGGGAACTTCTGATGTAGAAACCACCACTTCCGTAAATACAATCAGTCCACAAACAACTGCGTAAGCTGAACGTGAGCAGGTTGAACTTGGACCTAAAACTAAAGCCGGGTCCTTGGATAGAGGGTTGGTGCTGGTGACTGCCTAACCAGCAGGGCGAGCATTGGCGATAGCACCATTCAAAATCTTGAACACTGCCTCTTGTTAATTTGGTGTTGCCAGAAAATGAAAGCAATGAAGTCCTGTAGTCAGTTTTAAAATACACATGTATTTCCACCTTATCATCCTGATTTCATGGTAAATATATAGAGAAATATAGAACATTGCCTTAGGCTTTACGATTACTTTTATCAAAATAGAGAGCTGGGCTCTTCAACAGCAGCCAAAGCTGTGAGGGTACCAGATGGGTCACCGTGTTGAACCAGATGGAGTATGCCATGCAATTTATTATCTCTACTCATTTGCAGGCAATTCTCAAACCGTGAGAGGTGATACTGAGTGTGGAGGTTAGCCATGCTCTTGTTCTCTTTTCCACTAGCTGCCTTTTATTATTATTGTTATGTTCGTGGTCCCTCTCATTACACAACCTCTCCTACTGTGCATTAGGGCAGGAAAAAAGGAAGATGCAACAAAAAGGAAACATGTCTATGCAATCACTTGTTAACAGCTCTCAAGGGTTTAATGGAGTAAAGACTGAAACTGCTGGCTAAAATTAGGCCTGGGGTAACATTCTCTGATTCTAATTCTAATTACTGGTACCATTCCTGCATCTAACTACCAAGGATAACAGAATGGTCTGTACTCACTTTAGATAGATTTGACCCAAGACACTGGGAAAGGATTTTTGTGTGTGATGAGCGAACCGTGAGTAGAAATTTAAACAGTTCTAAAATATGTGTAAACAAGTAAGGCAGCCAGAAATTTCAAAAATGATTCTGGGAAGAACATTCTGCAGTCTGAAAAAATGTTTGGCTTAGAAAAATAGAGATCTCAGATAAAGGAAGAGCATTATTTGATGTCATCGATCACAGTTATCTTCTGTGATCAAGAAAGAGACTCTTTTTAAAACTGTGTGGAGCTCGGGCCGGGGACAGGGGCTATTTGCTACCCTACTGCAGTGCCAGGTGCCAGATGCCTAGACCAAGGCCACGCCATCATTACCCTCACAACCTCATAGTCGCATGATTTGTAACACACTTTACAAATGATTTAACCACCAACCTCACGTCAACCTGAAATTAGTTATCTCTTTTATTTACAGGGCACAAGAAACTCAGGGGAAAAAATTTTTATAGGCCCCAGATTGTGCTCATAAACGAAGAGGCCAAGGACATGAATAAAAGTGCTTGAATTATAGCCCTTGATTGCTGTGAGGACAATTACAACTTTCACTAAGGAAAAGGTTATTTAGCCTGTGTCTTAAGATGCAGTGTGTTAGTGGAGACTATCGAATCAGGGTCGATGGCAAGTGCTCTTCTTAGAGGAATACGGAGACACTGTACTCCCTAGCTGCAGAATTCTTTCATAAAAATATAATTTTTTCTTTAATCGTTCTACATGTATTACCTTTGAAATTAGAGCCTGTGTTTATTTTACAGTGGGAGATCAAGAGCTCCCTGTAAATTAATTTCTGAGGTGTCGTCATACTCTTGTGCTTAACCCCCATTTATCCGTGAGCTTTCCAGAAGTGTTTAGACGCTTTCCCGAGTGCAGGCACATCTCAGAGACCCTGTGAGTTCAGTTCCAGAGGTACCGCAGTTCCGCTGCGGCAAAGCAAGTATCACAATGGAGCGAGTTGTAATCTTTTGGCCGGCTGAGGGTCTCGCCTTCAACTTGTAAAAAATACAACATACACGAAGGGCAATAAAGTGAAGCACAAAAAAACGAGGTCTGCCTCGAGTTGCACTGAAAATCTGTTCTTCCTTGTCTTTGTTTTGGAGAGCTGTGCCTAACACCCTAGTCCTAGTGGATGATGAGAGAGAAGAGTTTTTATACGGGCGTTGCTACCAATTACCATTAGGCTGTCTTTGGAGGACACAGTCGTCTTCCAAACGTGTGACGTCCTGAATCCCGTTCAGCGCTGCTTCTCCCCAAGAGGAAGAAGGCCGTGCTGCTCTCGAGTGAAGCAATGACAACGGCTTTACAAGTGACAGTGCCAGCTGCTTTACAAAGCGCTTTCCCACAGTTTGTCATCGGCCCCTCACAGCGACCAGGTGAGGTAGGCATGAGAACCACGAAGAAATCTCACGTGAAACGTAACAGGGCTCTACACATGGGCAGCACCCATGGATTTCTTCCTGGATTGTTCTATAATTTGAATACACGGTTGAATGAGTAAAAACAATATTCCTACCAGGTAAAGCAGACCACATACATAGAAGGAGAAATCGTATTTTTGTGTGATGTCGTAGATCCAACCTACGAAATGAAAAAAAAAGAATATATTTAATGTAACGTAGTTGATAAACTGAAGTCAAGAACACAAACTGAGCATTCATTGTGACTGTAAATATCTCTATAATTTACTGCTATGTCATTTAATGCCTAAAATGTTCCCTTTAGTCTTTTGTAAGTCTGGGCTGTGTGGCCCAGAGTTGCTAGTACCTGGAGGGACTGCAAGCCCCTTTTAAGCCATGAGGGCACTTTTTAAGGCATCGGAACCGCAGCCTGCGGACTCACAGTGGGAACCTTCTGGCTCCCAGCCCTCCGGGTAATTCTGGGGCAGGCACAAAGCCAGCAGTGAAAAATGAATCTAATGATTTTCTGTTTTTACCAGTGTAGAAACAAATCTTTTCCTAAAGCTTCAAAACTCTTTCGAAGATGATTCCAGTGCATATCAGAAGAGAGGCGGAGCAGGAGGCACTTGACCTGGCAGTCATTCTGAAATAGATGAGGGCAAACATCTGTTCCAGAGAGAATGAAATCTCCCAGGCTTTAAAAAGTTCATATTTACAGCTGCAAAACTTTATGTTTACAAACTTTTAAAATGCCAAAGAGATAGCCTTGTATGCCGATTAAATGATCAGTTCTTTTGAAATAATACTCTAATATTATAATCTAATACATGATAATCTTACTGGGCACTCTGTGAAATATCACTATATTTCATGGATTCTAAAGTACCATGAATTACCCGATTCATCCCTGTTTTATGTGTCAATAAGAAAGAAAGATCCTTGTCAATTAAAATGTGACTCAGTGTTTTTAGGACTTTGTAAATGTATTCTGACTTCAGAGATATTAAAATGTGGAAAAAAAGTCTCAGAAACCATGAAATATGATGTTTCTTTCCCTTCTGTGATTAAGTCTAAGAATCAGTTCCATGCCATCGTCCCCATGTAGCCAATTACTCTCAGCAAACTGAGAGGATTAAGCCACACACAGGAATTGTATTTATGGTAAAAATGTAAATGTAAGCATTCACTTTTTCCATTTCAAATGCATTAATTAGAAAAGGCATAAGAAAACTATAAATGCTTAATGACCAAACATAGCACCCATGCCACTTTTCAAAAATATGTTTTAAAAACTGTCTCCCTGGCAAATGAATGCATAAATGCATCCTAACCGTCTCCCGCCAACCAACAGCTGCATAAAAGCAACATTAAAGGGGGGCCAGCAACCCCAACTGCCTGGTACTTGTCTACACCTCTGTGTGCTGTGTCCAGTGCATAATTAAAGTGCCTGGACCGGTCACAGCAGTCATGCAGAAAAACAAAAACACTGCACAGCATTAAAAAATTATAATTTTTTGTTGTTGTTGAAATTTATTTTTTATTTTTTAAATTTTATTTAGTTATTTTTCAAGTATAGTTTTTTGTCTATTTTTCCCATCCCAGCCTCCCCCGCCCCTTGCTCCCCACCTCCCTCCCATTTCCACCCCCCTTAGTTCTTGTCCCTGTGTCCTTCCTATTTGTTCCTCCAAATCCCTCCCCCTTTTCCCCCTTCACTTCCCTTCCTTCTCCCCTCTGGTCACTATCCCCTTGTTCTCTATTTCAGTGTCTTTGTTTTTTTTTTTTTTCTGCCTGCTTGTTTTGTTGTTTAGCTTCCTGTTAAAGGTGAGATCATATGGTATTTGTCTTTCAGCACCTGGCCTATTTCACTCAGCATAATG